ACATTCAATTTTGTATTTTCTAAAATTAAGCTTATACATTTAGTTTTTCTAAAGAACAATTTGCATTCAGTTCATTAATACATTTTAAAAGTATTAAATGATTATAGAATTTTTCCAAAGTCAGAGGTATGGGTAATTTTCTAAAGTCACGATTCAAAGTGACTAAACCAATAGTCTCCGGCCTAGCCGTAAAGACGATCTTGACGCATTTGAGGCCTTCATCGGATCTGCTGTCCATCTTCCGTGATGATTTATCTGTTCTACGTTTTATTGCTTTTAATTTATGCTGTGGAAATTTAAGAGGATGTCTAATTCCCTCTTCTTGTATGATGAAAGTTTAATTTAATGAGAATATGTTGGAAAAAAAAATTATAGAATTTTTTCAATGAAAGATAAAACAAATTTTGAAAAGGGAAGAAAATTATAGATTTATAGATTTGAAGAGCCAAAAATCATGAAAACGTGGATGAAAATTAGCAATTTGTGATTTTAAGGCATAAAAAGTTGTTGAAAATTTCTTAGAAATAAAGATGAAATGAAAACTACAACTGACCTTGTTTTCTTAAGAATGCTTTTGGACCTTGGTGATTTGGTTCGAGTTGTAAAAAGTTTGTAGGACATCGAAAAAACAAAAACCTATAAGTTAGACTATTTGGATGACGACAATGAAATCAAGACAAAATCAAAAAAAAAAACATATATATTGATGACCATTTTAGTGAAGAAATTGCGTGTGGAGTTTGTTTTTAAATTGGATGTTAAGGAGTTTGTTTTTAAAGGAAGTTAAGATCATGGGAGTTGTAGAAATTAGAAAAGGAGTCAAATTTAAGCGATAATATAGGAACGGTTGTTGCTGGGTAAAGAAAAAGTTCTGGGAAGTTCAGAAAAAAGACCGTGAGTTTTTTTTGTTTGAAAAAATTAATAATAATAATTGTATTTAAAAATACTTGAATGACACTTGAATGACACAAGTCACTCTCACAATTGATGAATCACTTCTGTTTTAGTAAATTAAAATATCATCGAATTAGTATTCCATAAATAACTTTCAATATACTAAATTTCCAATCACATCAAACCAGCGAAAAATAATAAACAATTAAACCAATCAAACAATTCAACAAATTTCATACTTTACTGAACCAACTAACCAAACATCTCAATTCCAAAATCAACGAATTCCATAACAATTTCAATTCAAATTCCAACATAAAAAACCATCAACTTAGCATTTCTAACACATGAATGCAATGACAGC